CATATTAAAAGGGCTGCATTTTATGAATCGCTCTGTGGCCTGGGTAGCAACTGTTAAAAATGCCTGTTTGTGCATATAATTAACACCACTTTTTCAGGCCTTGAGTTGATGACCCTTAAGAACTGGAGCTGTTGGTTGCCAACACCATCTCGGAGCGTGGTGGAGTTCTGGTTCCTGACTCCTCACACAAATGTTGCTACACAGTCACGAGTGCATCCACATGCAGGTGTGGCTGTGGTGATGCTCCTGTTCAGAAGAGCTTAATCCCTGGGTTTTGTCCATACCAGTGCATATATTCCCAGGCGGCCAACTGTCTCCAGTGACTGGTTGCTGCAGACAAGGAGCTCTTCCAGCTTTCCAGCATTCCCAACACCCCAGATACACAGAGGTAGCTTGAAGAGTTTGCACAGACAGTGAAGACAAAGCAGAATATTATTAATATGCTGCTGCTTCTTCATTCTGCTTTAGATGAAAGAGCATAGGGTGCAAAAGAAACAGGAACTTCTTTGAAGCTTTTCCAGCCTCTAGAAGCTGACAAGTTTGAGAGCAAGGACTGCTCAGTGAAGCTGCACCTTTCTATTCCAGGCTTAATAAGCAGTTACTTGAGCATTAAAACTGGTGTTAGAAATTTTTAGTGACAAATAGTCCAAACTATTTCTTCTCTGCAGTATCAATCAGTTCAAATATTTTTATAAAACTTAGGAGTATTCCACAAAGGAAAAAAAAGAAAGGGTTACGGAATTACCCAAAAGGAAGAAATCAATGTCAAGACTAGAAAGTCTGACTGACAAAAGGCAGTGCCAAGCTTCAGTCATGCTTTAGTGACCTGAGAACCTTGCTGTTCTTCAGCTGACCACGCTATTCTGCCTGAAGAGATCCCGGAAAACAGGAAGCAGTGGAAACAAACGCCACCAGGGACACTCCTGAACATCTTAGCAAAAGCAGAGCTGTCTAACGATTCCTTGGTCTGTCTTGAAGAAGAAATAGGTAGGATGTTCGTTACTGTAAATTCTGCAAGTTTTTCTTTAGTGTGTTATTTCTTCGACCACTGTCAAAGGGTCTGTGATGAGAACCAACCTTTTGAAGCAGTTGGCAAACAAGAAATGTGTAGGCAGCCTGTCACAGCAGACACTTCTCTGTCCTGTGGCAGTGAAAGGCCTCTTTCAGGGCGTTGCTGTTGTCAATAGCATGGAAAAGGGCAAGCCCTACTTAATAGCTATTACTTTCATATGTCATTCTTTCATTTGCTTGAGTAGACAGAGGTCAGCTACTACTGCCAGCAAGTTGGCAGGTACCCCAAACCTGCATCTAGCCCCTGCAACTGCTGATGTTGAAGAATCCTGTAAAAAAGCATTTATAGAAATGCATGTATTTCAGTAGAACAGCTGTAAATTGTAGGACGTGACGGCTTAAACTAGAGTGGTGACTTAACTTTACAGCATGGTCCATGCTGGTCAAGCTGACACTGAGATTGATTCAAACTCACTTAGACTGCAGTGCACTTTCCTAAAGTAACAGACTGTTTTAAAAATGACATTTACTTTGCATCAAAATTTTTGGCTAAAAAGCCGGAGTATTTTCCACAGAAAGATGCTGTAAATGTAACCAGACATTGTGAAGTTTTTTTCACAATCTACTGAACGTATAGTTGGATGGCAGGACTGTTAAGCCAGCTTAATTGTACATGCCAAATTTCAACAATTTTAATGGCCTATGAGACATATCTTTCATTTGCAGCTGTGCAGTCAGCACTCTCCTGCTAATTATGCCTCACATACGTGTTTTCTCATAACGAGCTCTTTTAAAACTGCCCCATCCTGAAGGCTAAACCAGCTAAATGTACCAGCTAAATTCCTCTCCTAAGACTAGCTTTATTGCTCACACATTAAAAAAAACCCAAACCCCAAAATGAAATTCAAACCTCTTTTCACTAACGTCAGCAGTTCATAAAGCTAAAGCAAGAGTAAGTCAACTCACACAGGTATTCTAATTGCTGTTGCTTTTATCAGTTACACTTACTAAAATATGGCACACCCTCAATACCCAGTTCTGCCCCGCTGCTCCAGCTGAGTTTGTGGAGCACAGAGTTACACACTTCTGTTGGATCACGTGCAGAATTTAGTCTTCATACTCAACAAATCTTAGCGTTGTGTTCTCCCACCTTCAGGTTGGGGTTGCCCTTTGGTCTTTGAAAGCGAGCACTTTTAGGTAACCATAGCTACATCCACATAGCAATTGTCAGCCTTTCCCAAACAGCACTCCTCTAAGTTTTCCACTGAAAATGCAGACCCCTGGATTGGGAATTTAAACTTCCTAACATCAGATGGCCTTTCTTACTTTTAACTTTTATAGTCCTGTGGTTATGGTCTACAAACACACCATGTTCCACTAAGCAGAAGTTACAAACCACTGACTGAAACGTGTGATTGAGAATAACAGAAGCACAGTATTTATGTTGTAATTTGAACAACAGCAAAAAAAAAAAAAAAAACAAGCAATTACTTATTTGCTGTTACTTTACATACACTTTTACAGTTAGCTAATATACAAATAAAGGAACGTTTCTCTTCCTTTCCAGATGGGAGATTAACTACGTTGCCTCCAAAAGAAAACAGAGAAGATGATTCAGAAACATACGCTGCTGTTGCTGTTGCTGGAGGCAGACTTGAGCCAAGATCAGATGACGAAGACACGTAAGTCAAGCCCATCAGAAGAAACATCCACACAACTGAACAGGTTCCATGAAACGACAGGTTGCATTGCCTAAAGCTTTTCTTCTTTTAAATTCATAAATTAAGAAAACTTACTTGTTTTACAGACTTTGCTACTTTTAGTTCTGTAATTTAATATATGTCACATGCCAATGCTGTCATTAAAAAAAAAAAAAAAAAAAAAAACCCAAGCAATTACTTATTTGCTGTTACTTTACATACACTTTTACAGTTAGCTAATATACAAATAAAGGAACGTTTCTCTTCCTTTCCAGATGGGAGATTAACTACGTTGCCTCCAAAAGAAAACAGAGAAGATGATTCAGAAACATACGCTGCTGTTGCTGTTGCTGGAGGCAGACTTGAGCCAAGATCAGATGACGAAGACACGTAAGTCAAGCCCATCAGAAGAAACATCCACACAACTGAACAGGTTCCATGAAACGACAGGTTGCATTGCCTAAAGCTTTTCTTCTTTTAAATTCATAAATTAAGAAAACTTACTTGTTTTACAGACTTTGCTACTTTTAGTTCTGTAATTTAATATATGTCACATGCCAATGCTGTCATTAGGAATGTTATGCAGAAGTATTACCATGGCTTTGCAGCTGCTGTTCTCTCACCTTACGAAAGAGGTAAACCATGTCATGGAGAAAGAAGAAACAGTTCACATTATGTTTGTTGCTTGTGCATTCTTTATAAAGTGTTTAAAAAATAAAAGATCTCAAAGACCTTGAAGGGAGAAAGGCTTGTAACAAATATATATTTAATTAATATAATGATCTTGTTTTACTTTACAGAAACTTTGAAGATTCTGAAGATGAACTCAGACGTGAGCTGGAGGAATCTCTGGAAAAAGTGGCAACTTCTCCATCAGAGAGAACCATGGAGTCTCCCACCCTTTCAACAAATCAAGGTCAAGGAGATGAAGAAAAGATGAGTTTGCCTTGCAAACGACTTGGAAAATCTGATGATGATTTAGAAAATAACCATGGGTCATTTAGTGTTGACACACATAATGAAAAAGGCAAGCAGGAAGCAAGAGCCACCTAGAACAGTTACTGTTTCAAAGCTTTGGCTTGCTGGAAATTTCAGCCACATCAAGTAATCAAATTTAAGGATAGCTGACATTGAATGCCAAGTTAATCAACTGCTTTTCAACAGTGCTAAACGCTCAATTAAAATTCATAGGAGGTTGTTACTATTTTGTTTAAAGGAAAAAAAATCAGGCTACTTTTCTTATGTCTAAATGTTGAAAAATCCTTATCCAGAATGAAAAGCAGTTTCATCTTTATTATTCTGAACTGCCTAGGGTTTCTCTGATGACTTGCTTCAGCAAATTTCTGATTGTGTACCCTCATGAACCATTTTTGTATCACGTAAGGAATTCTCCTAGTCAATGTGTTATATTTCCCCAGCTCAATCAACTCCTTGTTTTACCAAGTTCTTCCAGCTTTTCATGATCTCTGTGTGCTGCCAATACAGCTTTATAATCCATAGCTCCATTTGCACAGTGCTGACCTTACGTAGTATCACCAACTCCTCTGCAGTTTTATATAGTAGCAATAAAAGGGTTTATTAGAACCATGAGAATTGTGCGTTCCCCATTTCCTAATAAAACATGGAACAGTCGGATCTTCCAACCAGCTTTTCTCACATAAAAAACTTTATATAATCCAGGTGAAGCTTTAAATAGAGGGAAAACCACGTTGCAAAGTCTGATTTCAGTACCTTTTTGTACTTAGTTTGCTAAAATATAAAATACTGCTCTGATGGCTCAAAAAAGGACTATATGTTTTTCCATTTTTGATACAAAAGCAGATGTGCAATTTTTGAGCATTTTGTTCCCCAGTGTTTGGTTTTATAATAACCAGTAGTTTAGGGCTTTAAGGTTCATGTTTGTATAGCATTTAATTATGCTCTCTAATCTAGACCCTTCTATTCCCTAGGAACAGAAAACCTTTCAATAGAAGAGTGCTGGAAAAAATACCATGAAATTGTCACACTGTGAAAGGGCATGAGGAAATACCTAATATAAGGATCATAGTCAAATGCAATTATTATACTTATTAAATAGCAGGCTAGCAAAAACACCATAATGATTAACCTAAAGGAATCACTGTAGGTAATGAAATCTCCAGAACCACAATTAAACTCCCTCCTAATAGAATTATGCCACAGAATGGGGGACAGCAAATTGAAAATGTGCTACAGATTCTGGAAAAAAAAAATCCTCTGATTGAATGGGATCAAGGGATCATAGATTAGCTATATTTACAGGTGACACAGTCAAATATAAAAAGTTAATTTTATTCACATACATTTTATTCATATACATTTATTTAAATAATGGCTCCACAGATAGCAGGAATGTCTCTTCAAAATGCTGGTCGGAAAACCTGTGCACAGAGCGGCGAGCGTTTTCTCTGATCTCTAACCTTTTTTTGGGAGACAAAGAGAGGATATAAGCCATTGTCTCAGCATAACTGTCCTCGTTTTCGGCCAGGAAGCCTGTAACATGTCCTTCGTAGGGTACCACAATGTCTAATTTGGGGCCTCCAGAATTGTGAGCCAGGATAACTGTGCCAGCTGCCATACATTCAACTACGCCTGGAAAAGACATGAAACATGCAGATATGAATATGCACATCAGGGACTTTGGCTTTTGATAAGGCATTGGAAAATGAAAAATGCAGTAAGATTCACTAAGAATTATAAGTTACTAGAGACTGCCTTTCTAGATAAATTTGAAAAATACAGAGTAAGTGGTCTCATAAGAAAAACAAATTTAAGATTTTCAGTCCTAATGACTGAAATGACAGCTTCTCTTTAACACATAAAATTGAAATTAGAAATCAGATACAAACAGCTAAGTTGTGGTTCTTGTAACATACTTGATTTACGTGAGATAGATTATGTCACCAGTATATACAGTGGAAAAGAAAAGCTGGATACTGAAACAAATGTAAAGATAAACATGGAAGGTAGCTCTGTGACAGGACACTGCAACACTGGTTTTATGGTACGGTTGCCAGCTGGAAATAATAATTAAAAATTAGAGCTTAATGGAACTGTATTCATTTTCTCATTCACGCTGAGGAATTTTATCAGTTCGAAAGATACTGAGAGAAAAGCTGACTATGCACATTTCCATCAGACGATATTCAGAATTTCAGTATTTTGCAGATGAACAACTCTTTATGGCTTTTGACAACTCAGCAAGACAAACTAGTAAAAACTGTTATGGCTAAATCTGTATTTTTGATGGACGAAGTTTTAATGAAATGGGAAGCTGATAGAAAGATTTCCTCAGTCAAAAGCAGTGGAATAGGAGTAGCATATGATGGATATATAAAGTTCAATTCTTCCCTGTGGCTCTAGAACAGACATCAGCAATCACTTCAGTTGCCAATTCTTTTTAGTTCTGATTTGATTTTTAAGAAGTTCCCCTAGCTCAAAAATTGCCAACTGTAAATAATGCTCCAAAGTTTTGGAACATATTTTTTACAGGTAAAAAGCCACTGTAGATGAAGGTGAAATCACAATGAAATTCAAAATCACAGTGTGATTGTATGATTATTATTTTTTTTAATTTACTTAACTAAACTGTTGGGGGGGGGAAACTATTATTTCCATTTTGTGACAGATGCTTCTGGGAGACACTTCAGAGTAAATTTTTTTGTACCAAATTCCTATAGACTAAACTACTACTCCTGATACTTAGTTAACTTGTATTCTAATGAAGTCTGATGACATCAAGTGGAATTTAGTCACATTGTAGCCAAGCACAGCATCCATCTGTTTGGCTGCCCTTGTAGATTTATGGCAGATGAGCAATTTTACATTCCCTTTCAAGGTCAGAACTCAACTAATCCAAATAAAACTGAACCCGACACCTTAGTTCTGTGTGCCAGCACACTGCAAACCAGGCCTCAGCTCCTCCTTGGCAATCTGCTCCACGCTACAACTGATTTAAGGACTTGATTTAATCGCCTTAGCACAGGTACCTAGTGCAATGAGGTGACCATGGGTACCTGGTGGCATCTACAATGGGGCTTACAAGTAGAGAGACAGGATCTGTGGGAGACTCACCTCTGAAGCAGCAGCGAGAGCCCCATGGTATAAACTAGGTATTTCAAATGGCAGTTGGGGCAGGTGAAACACCATCAAAATCTCTACACACAAGACACATGAATTGTGTCAAAGCTCCCCCTGCAGCCAGGGCAGACAACAGGACACAATCTAAGGTGCTCAAACAGAAATACCTGCTGCCTTTCGGTGCTCCCCTGGGTACAGACGGCACCTGTGTAAGGTGGCAAATCTAACACAGGACCTCAGGGCAACCCATGAGCTTACAGAGTGATAGCTGGAGAGCAGGCAGGACATCTCGGGCAGCAAAGCTTGGGATAGCTGGCTCTTTAGGTGGCTAGAGGATGTCCATAATTAACAGTCTACAGCGGTGCAGCTCGCACTACAGTAGCACCTAATGGTTAGTCATCTCAAATGGTCTTGTAGGCTGTACCTCAGCTAGATCACCTCTGAGGAGAACAGGAGTAGGACACCTGCTTGCCATACTGACCTCTATGCTTAGACACCTACACTGAGGAGCTTTAATCATGAACTGAAGCCCTCCCCAGCTGGGAAAAATGGCTGAACACTGAGGAAAGATACTGACCGATCCCGAAGTGCTCATTCCACATCGTATGCAGGCCGATAGTGGCCTCAGCCAGGTGTCTCTTTAGCTCCTCAAAGGGAATGTTTATTCTGAACATCACCTTGTTACTAAGTCCCAACTCTTCACAAAGACGTTTAAGGTCATTTACACGCTCTTCATCTTGCTGGTTACGACAGCCTCCAATTAAGATAAGCTTCAATGACAGCTGCTCCCCCAGTTTCTTTTCTTTCAGCAATTTAGCAAAGGCTCTGATTTGCAAAGGGTGATCTTTTTCAGGCCTGAACTGGCCGACGGAAACAATGGAATGCTCAGCGGTGCTCTTCTCCTCTTCCAGTGGAATATCCAGGAAGGTCTGAACATCGCAGGGTGGATACACAACACTAGTGCAAGCCCCAGCTCTCCAGAGGGAAAGGATGTGATTTAGCGTCCAAGAAGAATTAACCATAACCACGTCGCTGCAGGAACCAACCAACCCGTACATGAAAGCAAAGAAGTAGTAGTAGATAAGTTTGAATTTGCTGAAAAGAGGATTTTTTGTGATGAAGGCTGCATTGTTAAACCTGGTATCCTGATTCCTAACGACAGACAGCATATCGGTGCTGATGGTGGGGTAATGGACGTAGCAGCCAACGCGACACCCTCCTAAATATTTGAAGAGGGGAAGCGTGAAGGCGTAACCCATTGAATCAATATAAATATCGGGAACACACTTTAGAAGGGCTTCCCAGCCGAGAAAAACCGATCCTAAACTTTGTCCCAGCAAAGTGAAGTGAGGGTAAAAAGAAGCTTCCACGAGGTAGCGTTTTTCTAGAAATACAAACTTCACAGGATGAGTTAATTTAATATTGAATCTTCTGAAAGCGCCTTCCACTATTTCTTCTCCAGTGGCATCTCTGTCTCCAGTGTAAACAACACACGTTATATTTCTGTACCTGCAAGAGTAAAGGAAAGGAATTTTGTAGTTCTTCTCTTCAAATTTTGTAACATGAAGCTAAAATGCTATCCATTCAAAATTTCTCAAAAAGCACACAAGAACAAATATCTGGCCTAGCTCTGAAATGATTTTAACTAAATTACACTTTTCCTTATACTTCCAGGGTTTTTTTGATCTGCAGAAAAACACATGGCTGAAGACTTGGGGAGTATTTTTTTTTTGAGTAAAACTTAAAAGGAGCTCAGTATTACTCTACAGACTTAAGAGTGCCTTGCCATACATTAGGAGATGTCTGTCTACTGCACAGCATGAGGAAAATACAGGAGACTGGGCAAGCCAGTGGACATGCCAATTTAAATCCATTTTAGATATTAACTTGTTTCGCCTCCTGCACCAAGAGGGAAGTATCAAGATTATCAGTTATCTACTGAAGAGTTATGCCCATACAAAGTTCCATACTGGCAGTGGAAAACTGATGAGGGATGAAGGGTTCTCCCAAGGAAAGAAGTGAAAGATGCTACAGCAGGAAAGATCAAAATCTGGGCAAAGGGATGAAGTGGAATGGTGCAACCAGGTGAAACTCAGATGTAAAAGAAAATGTAGGACGGGTAGAATAATGACACCTATTTAAGTATGTAAAACGCAAAAATGTACATAAATAATACCATCAGTAGCTGAGAATGAAATATAGTATTCGATAAACATAAATGCTTACTTTTTCTGGAGCGTTCTTATGGCACACCACAAGACTCTCTCCCCACCACCACCTGCATTGCAATACGGGTGAAAAAAGGCAACCAGCAGCGGCCGCTTCCCATCTTTTCCTGCTGAGGTCAACTGTTTTTTCCTTTGTTGTATCCAGAGCCGTATTCCCCCCAGCAGTACCACCAAGCAGACACACAAAATTCCACTTAGAAATAATGCAGGGATTAACAATGAGCACAGCAATCTGAAACAAGCCAGAAATTTTAAAATACAAAATTGCTTTAAAGAACTACTATGTATGAAACTGAGAGAGCAGTGCTTTTAGGTGTAGCTACAGGGAGTTCAACTGTTTGTTGAATTCTTCTAAGCTTGGAAATCATCAATATGTGTGTCTCACTTCAACAGTTACAGAAAGTCACAATTCTACACTGTTTAGCCAAAGATTTTTTCCCTACTGTTACCTCTCAATCATTTATTATTGTTTATTCATACTAATATCTATATCTATCTCCATGTGCTATATACATTATAAAGCTTGCATGCCCTTAGCAATCTGGCAAAACACAACTAGTGAACTGATTTCTAAAGAATTTGTAAGAGATTTCTTCAGTCCAAGCTCCTGTTCGGCCTGCCTTAGTGTGAACTGCTTTGGTGGAGTTACTTGGACCAGTCTGCAGTGCACGATCCAGAACGTGCTTTTTCCATTCCCTGGAGATTTGAAGGGCTGTGTCAATTGTTCAGAAAACCTCCAAGTGGTACCTCTGTTTAGAGACCTGTTTCTTCGGGTCTCTGAAGCTCTCTCTGACAGGGGCATTCCCTTTGCTCACCCCCGCCTCCCTGCACAGCTCTCCTAACCCAGGAATAGGTATCTCAAAGGAGTCTCTTCTCGGCCTACAGAGCTTCACAGGCGCCAGAGCCTGATGCTGTGCCACACGCTGTGATACAACATCATCTACTCGTCTCTAAAGGGGCTGCCCGCGGCCAGCTGCGCGCCACGACTGACACCTAACGTCAGAAGACACTTTCATTTTCGGGATGAAGAAGCGGAAAAAGCCCATCGGTCCATCCGAGGCCGGCGGCAGAGCGAGAAGGAGCCAGGCAGGGCCCCGGTCCCACCTCGCCCTGCCCTGCGGCCTCCCCTCCTCAGGGCCGGGTGCGTAACGGCCGAGCAGGCCCGGGTGGGAGATGGGGGAGCGCGGCCGCGGGTTGGCAAGGGGGCCATGGAGGCGCGGGGTCTGCTCCTCCCCTCCCTCTCCGCTGCCTCCCTCCCCTCCTCCATACGGCCCACAGCCCTCAGCCCCCCCCGGTACCTGAGGAGCCCACACAGACACAACCCTCCCGCCACCATCTTGGACAGCGCCAACAGGCCCTTCCGCCGGAAAGGGATGGTTTGGTGTGGGGCGGGGCCATCAGGGCATTGCCTTCCTCTCATTGGTTGGCGGCGGGAGATAGACAGAAGGGAGGGGAAAGGGGCGCGGCCCTGGCGGGTGGGCGGGACCGGCGCGGGGGGCGTGGCCTCTCCTCAGCGGGGCGGGCGGTCGCGCGCGATGGCAGCGCCCCCTGAGGGGCGGGACGGCGTCGACATGGCTGTGGGCTCGTCGCCGCCTTTTCTTCTTCCTCCTCCTCCTCCTCCTCCTCCCCTTCCAGGGGACAAGATCGTGCAGCTGATCATGGAGTACGTGCCCCTGGGGAGCCTTCGGGATTACCTGCCCAAGCACAACGTCAGCCTGGCCCACATCCTGCTCTTCGCCCAGCAGATCTGCGAGGTGACCTCCCCCCTTCTCCTCGGGGCTCCTCTGACCCCCCCCAAATGGC